TCAGAAGGAAAGTTGATAAAATAAATTAAAAATTTTGTATTGTTCGATACATATGCGTACCGAACCGAAAGCACTGTATCGAACGGTTCAATATCGATACGAGTATCATTGCACCCCTAATATATATATATATATTACATTGTAGGATGTTAATATGGGCATGCTGCACAGGCTGTGTCAGAAACTACATGCTAATATACTCCTGACTGTGCTGAGTATATACCCAATAGTATGTGAGGTGCATACTGCTTCCTGGGGAATATTAAAGTACAGCTGGGGAGTTTGAGTGGAGGCCTGAGTGGGTCACTGAGTTTGGAGCTAGCGTGTGAGATATGGAACAGACTGTTCTGTATGGAGATTTCCAGGAGAAGCAGCAGCATACTACAAAATTAATTATACTTGAACCTGAGCTAGCAGCTTTTAGAATTTCAAATAATTCACACACCTCTCGCCAGTGTTGCTACACATCCTACAGGCACCACCACAGCCGTTGCTTACTGCCGCTTTAACACATTTTAGAAGCTCCAGTTGCCCGCAGAGTGCCCGAGGTTACCTTGGCCTCGATGACGGCCTCGGTGCAGGCCTGCAGCATGGTGAGGTGGTGGGCGAACACCAGGAACTTCAGCTGCTCTGCCTCCAGCATCATCTTAATGTAGTCCTTCACAGCTCCCGCCTGGCCACACACACACACACACACACACACACACACAAAAATAGACACAGATGAAAGAGAGCTACTGAATCCATCACTTCACCAGTCGACCACACACAGAGGAAGCGGCGAGATCAGTGAAGAAGTCAATTAATCACCGCGGCATCCTTTCCGTGTGATCGATTCTCTATTGAATGCCAGGGATCCAGACTTTAAAAGGAAAGTGCACACAGAGCGACTGGGGCGCATTTGTCAGCTCGGAGATACCAAGAGTCAAATCAATAACTCACAACTTGGCTTATGCTTGGTGTGTTTTTGGAATTTCTGTTTTTTAATTTCGGTTACAATAACAAACAAGCAAAACTCACCTTTTCATACATGAATAGGATTTAAAAAATAAAATAAAATAAAGACCTTTTATGTCACATATTGCCAAAACTGATCTCACCAGCTGATATTGGCCTATCACTGTATCATATATCATACACTATGTGCAGATATTAATGGTGTCATTTACACAAAGTCAGATGATGAAGCAGCAATATTAACAGTTAGGGCTGCCATGATTAGTCGACTAGTCGCGATTACGTCGACTATCAAAATTGTCGACGACTGATTTAATAGTCGATGCGTCGTTTGAAGCTTTGCAAGATCCCAAAAGACGCAGGAATAAGTAGTAGGATTTAAGAGTGTAATAATGGACTGAAACAGAAGATGGCAGCACTGCATGTACAAGGATGCCAGCTGCCGTTAAACCCCGAAGAAGAAGAAGCAGTGTCCGGTATTGTAGCTGTGTCCAAATTCAGGAACCGCATCCTCCTCTGCCCACATTTGTAGGCCAATTACGTTACAGCGACACGACGAAGCCTGTCCAAATTAGAAGACTCCGACAAATGCGGCCGACAAAAGCGCCCTTCATTTCCCGAGATTTGAAGGATGGGTCGGGTGTATCCTTCGTGGCCCAACCTATCCCAGAATTCATAGCGTGGCCCAGCCAATTCCAGTTTCCAACAATGGCGGCAGCTAGTTAGTTTTAATATTACTCTTATTATTCTTTCTGGGTCACAAAATAAACTTTTAACATATTTTCAGACAAGAATGTAGCTGTGTAAACCTCAAATATCTGCTCAGTTTATCAAGACATCACATATTTTCAAAAGCGCTCTGACGTTTTCGGAGACGTCTGTTACCCACTAGCTCGATAGCTAGCCGGGGTTCAATGGTCACTAGAGCCGATGAGAACACTGAACTCCCAGCAAATCAATTTAAACCCCCCGCGGTCTTTCGTTACTCAGGTTAAACATGTAATAGAAGTCACTTAGATAACTAAAAAATGTTATTGTTTGGCTTTTTTCAGTGTTTTATTTGTTCCTTAGTAAATGAGTTTGGATGAGATTAAAGTTATAGTTTTTACACAGCTAATAAACGTCAAGCAGACAACTGATTATCAGAAGTGTGAGATACTCGAGAATATACTCTGGTGTCCCGTTATATTTTAGATAGCAAGGAGCAGACGGCTGAGTTTATTAAACTTCACCGAAACAATCTTCAAATGTCATTAAAATTTAACAAACTATCATCTTGTCTTTATTTTTAGTTAGCACCTTAAACACTTAAAGCTGTAAGCTAATGATAGTTATATAAGAGCAGATGCTGCTGGTCCAATAAGTTTTACGTCCAATGGATGCATCATCCGATTAGTCGACTAATCGCAAAAATAATCGGTGACTTGTCGACTATCAAAATAATCGTTTGTAGCAGCCCTACTAACGGGTTTACAAACTGACAGTTTGAACTTTTATCGCCAGCTTTATTGAAGCCATAGCACTTTATTATTATTGCATTATTATTTCCTAATAATGTAACTATCATCACGTATTTGACTGGGCTGATATTTTAGGAGATTTTATATGTGAACACATTCAGGACTTGCAAACACTCCTAAGAATTATTACCTGTCAAAAGTGACAGCTGAAGCCTGGAATTAATGCAGGATATAAAAGTTTTTGCTCATTTTACTTTTTGCACAACCACATTTTTTTTCCCTCCTTCATGTCGGGCTTCTGATTTATGAAGTCAAATGGTAACAATGCTTAACCCCCCCTAAAAACATCACAGTCCAAGTTTAATGCACTTTTGTTTGTTTTCTGCTAAAGCCTCTGACCTTGATTGACGGTGTGAGTCTAACAACCTAAAAAGGAAGCGGCACAGTGAGGTAACTGTAGCCTGCAGGTATCTGTATCTATCATTTCACCGTGCGCTGGTGCCCAGCGATCACACTGTGATGGCTGTGGCCTGCTCCCCGCTACCTTCTGCAAGAGCTGTACGAGCGTGTCATTGAGCATCCGCACTCGGCTCATTTCAGAGCCCCGGGCCATAAAGCAGCCAAGAATAGCACCAACTAGTGAGAAATTCTGAGGTTTGAGTTGAGTCAAACAGAGCCCTTACTAGACGGTTTTTGGAGACAGGCCCTTTCTCTGTGGTGTGAAGTCCACCCTATAATCTCCGCACCTCCTGCAAGCTGACAACTTCTGCAGCCATCACACACCTGATGCTCTGGTGGGAGAACCTCTGCTTCGCCTTGCTGATAATTAGCCGATGCGCCTGATAATGAATCTCTCCGCCAGGCCTGCCCGACCCTGTTCTGATCTGGGGGGTCCTCATTACTGACGGCTCGGCTTCGCAGTCTTCCTTCCGCTGAGTTTAATTAGTGCACAAACTTCTCGGCTGTCTGAAGCGGCCCGTTAGCTTGCTTTAAAGTCCAGCATCAGAGCTGTCCTCTCTGGGTAATTGGGAGCAGATGCTTGGCGGGTAAAGCAACAAAAATACCCCAAAGGCGTTTGGCAGCTTCGTCGCCAGGCGGACTGGCAGGCAGGGGCCGTGATGCTTGTCAGAGTGACATAGATGTGTGAATCTATCATACCGTTCCACCCCTCTCGATGATCCAAAAAAAGAATAAAGCAAGCTTTCTCTTTTTTTCCCTCTCCTTCTCGGAAGTAGAGAAAGTGTGAACCAGTAGCAGAGGAAATGAGACTAGGCCGGCAGTATCGGCTTTGAGGTGGGAGAGCAGGTCGGTGTGGGTGGGGGCTTTGTAATGAAAGGAGGTCCAGTGTTAGGCTAAACTGAGCAGAAATCCAATCAGCAAACAACACCAAGCGCAAAAGAGATCCAAGCTTGGAGGCAGGCTGAGCGGGTAGCGTGTCGATGATTGCGTTCAGTGGTTATCTCCGCTCTTCGTTAACCTCGGGGCCACACTCCTCATGGCTGAGGGCGCTGGGCTAATTGAGAGGAATGCCAGCCCTCGAACATGGCAGATGATTGGAGAGGGATACTATATCTGGTGGAACTGTTTGCTCAGCTACAAATATAAGAGACTAGGGAACTGCCTGTTCTCTTGGTAAGAGGCTAGAAGCGGAACAGAGGTTGAAAGCTATATTAGTGTAAAAATGCTTCCACTGACGAACAGGAAATGTTAGATTCTCAACACTAGTTGCTCTGACCCCCCTCCCCCGCCGGCCTTCCTTAGACTAAATGCCACCTTCCCATATTGCTCTCATTAAAAAGAAAAAAAGAAGTCACTTCAGAGAGCCGACCGAGTTTCCATAGCAACAACATCACAGAGATGCTATTTTAGTGCGGTGTGTAACTTTGATATAAGGGGTAATCATGCCAGGCTGGACGCAACAAAATAATACCTCAGTTATAACTCCCTACTTTGTCTAAGTGCTTTCACTGGCAACCATTAGGTTCTGTTACCATGGCAATGATTTTCCCATGAGATCTCACTGAGTGGTTGGCCAAGCGCTCTGAGAATGATGCTGTGCCATCAATTCACCATTTCCTGAAATAGGAAAATTAATAAAAAAAAACAACATCATCGAGCTAATTTTTAAGCTATTTGGGTGATATAATGTATGGCTCTGGGTTTGTTGCTTGTGAGATATTTGAAGGTTAATGTGAACAACAATGTATTTTCCTATTTTCAGTTATAGCCACATATTGTTACAATGGTAAATACTAAGTATCAAATTATGAAGCAAGCTTGTGTTCAAGAAATACCCTGTTTTGCAGTTTTTTCCTACTCTTACATCTATCTGTATGATGTCAATGAGAACAGATACACCACCATGGCCATTGTCAGGACAGAAGCCCCACCCACCAGCTGCACATAACTTATTTTTATGAGGTGTGGCAGAGGAAAGTCACCTTAAAGATAAGGGGAAGGTAGACAACTCTACACTAGGGAAAACAATCGAAACAGTTATTGATTTCAATTCAATCTCATTCAGTTTAATTAAATTAAATTAATCATTTATATAGCATCAAGTCACCTCAAGGCGCTTTATATTATAAGATAATGACCCAGCAATAATACAGAGAAAACCCCAACAATCAGATGAGCAAGTAGTTGGCAAAAGTGGAAGGAAAAACTCCCTTCTAAACAGGAAGTATCTCTGGTAGAACCAGGCTCAGGGAGGGCCAGCCACCTGCCACAACCTGCTGGGGGTGAGAGGAGGGAGGCAGGACAAGAAACAGCGACTGTCACCCTGTCCACCACCACTGCAAACAAGAAGGGGCTCAGAGCCAAATCACAGATGAAATCCCACCTGGTTATGAAGTAGAGTATAGATAGATATAAATAGGGATTTGCGGTTATGAATACTTTCTTACAGACTATTATCTAATGATGCCCATCTATATTCCCACCTGCCACAACCTTGCAGTCTCCTATCTCTTTAAATCCGCACCTTCTGCATAAGATGTAGTCCACCTGTGTGCACCTTCCTCCACTCTTATACATTACCTTCGACCCTCTCACAAAATCCACGACATCTGGCTTTCTGCATTTCTCTCCTTAACACCAAATCTACCAAACATCTCAACTCTGTTCCCTTCACCTCCATGTCCACTGAAGCCCACTACGATCACCACTCTCTCCACCTGCGACCACTCTCTACCACTTCATCCGACCTACTCCACAATTCCAATTTCTCTTCTGACATCCAACCTGTGGGGCACGTGTAATGTAACAACTTCAAACTCATAATCCTGTTCTTCACATATTCTTCCTTCAAGATTATTTCTGACACAAACCTTCCCATGTACCTGGGCTTGGGACAGCCAATAGGAATAAAGTGTCTTGTTCTACTTCCTATAAACTGGTATCGTGATTATTCAAAGAATTCAGCATCAGCTGAGGCTAGTTTTTCTAGCAGTAGAAATCAGTAACAATGTAAAATATTTAAAATGATAGTAATTTCAAATACTTTACATTATTTTAGTGTTTTGTGTTAATCTCTGTTCATTACTGTTCAAATGAAAAATGAAACCTCAGTGATGAACTCCCAATAGATGCTATTTCCAGGTCTAGCATCATACAGAATAGACAGACATGTTAGTAGTATTAATGTTCTCTTTCCTAAATGTCAAAGCGGTCTTTAAACTTTTCCTAAACTGTCAGCTCTTTCAGCTCTTTCAGACAAGAACAAGAATGATCGATTTAACCACATTTTCTTGATACTGATTAAAACAGATTTTCCTGTTTTTCTCAAATCACATTCAGTGTGCTTCCCTTCTATGTTCTGAAACTCGAACCACAGTGTTAAATAAATGTATGAATGCTTAGTGGTCATATTGAAACCAAGGTTGTGTTTTCAGGGGTGCTGAAAAGTTTACATTTGTACAGCCTGTAGCCACTACAGCAGGGCTAGTGGTCACAACAGTAAACGCTGGAAGTAGACTTGCACCAACAGAAGACTGAGTGCATTAAGTATTTCCCCCCTTCCTGCTTTCTTAGGTTTTTCCACATTTTTCACACGTGAATGTTTTAGATTATGAAACAAATTGTAATATTAGACAAAGATGGCCAGAATAAATGCATTTATTAGGTGGAAAAAAAGCAATCCTCCCTTTGTTAAATCATGAATTAACTACAGACTTTGATTTCACAAGCTACACTCAGGCCTGAGTGTAGCAGATCTGTTGTACCAACAATTTCAATTCATCCTGCACCAAACAACAGTCAGTAAAAACCCTACAATAATACAGAAGCAATAACATGAACCCCTATCACAGGGGGGTCCAAACCCAGGCCCCAAGGGCCGATGTCCTGCAGGTTTTAGATGTGTCCTTGATCCAACATAGCTGATTTAAATGGCTAAATGACCTTCTCAACATGTCTTGAAGTTCTCCAGAGGCCTGGTAATGAACTAATCATTTGATTCAGGTGTGTAAACCCAGGGTGAGATCTAAAACCTGCAGGACACCGGACCTCCAGGCCTGAAGTTAGCCAAGCCTGCCGTATGAGCAAACACATGGCAACAGTGGGAAGGAAAAACACCCTTTTAACAGGAAGTCAAAGGAGCTTGCAAAGAAAAGCGTCTGGACTTCTTTAAGTTGCTTGAAGACGTTTCACCTCTCATCCGAGAAGCTTCTTCAGTTCTAAGGTCAAATGGTGGAGAGTCCCAGATTTAAACCTAGTGGGAGTATCCCCCCACAGAGGGACAAAAGGACCCCCTGCTGATCCTCTAATCGCCTGAGCCAAGGTGTGAAACTGGGTGAGGGTCCCAATCAACCAGGGTTTCAGGTGAGTTCATTGTGAAACCTGGCCCCACCTTATCATGCGAATTAATTAATTATTAATTACTCTGTGGGGGGGCTAACTCCCACTAGGTTTATATCTGGGACTCTCCACCATTTGACCTTAGAACTGAAGAAGCTTCTCGGAAGAGAGGCGAAACGTCTTCAAGCAACTTAAAGAAGTCCAGACGCTTTTCTTTGCAATCTCCTTTGACTACGATGACCTGGATGACTGAGAACCTTCACAGACTTTTAACAGGAAGAAACCTCCAGGAGAACCAGGCTCAGGGTGGGGCAGGCATGTGCTGTGATGGTTTAATGGATAAGGCGAGGACAAAAAACTTAAATAGAAGCAAAGTAAGCTAACACATCATGCCAGATAAGAAACAGATTAGAGACAAAGTTATTGACATCTGCTAGCCTGAAAAGTCGGCACATAGCAGTGCAATAATCATTACAATATCGTATTTGATGCTCTTCTTTTAATTATTGACTTTTGGTTCGACAAAAAATATAGACTCTAAAACTGTTGGATTGGCTTATGGTGTAGGCTCAGTCATAAATCGTAAACAAGCTGATATAATATCTGACAATCACTGTTTTTTGGTACAGCCTGCATTACTCTTCTTACTGGTAGTGACGACAAACCAATGTCCTAGATCAGGGGTGGGGAACTCCAGGCCTTAAGGTCCTGCAGCCTTTAGATGTGTCCTTGATCCAACACAGCTGATTTCAGTGGCTAAATGACCTCCTCAACGTGTCTTGAAGTTCTCCAGAGGCCTGGTAATGAACTAATCATCTGATTCAGGTGTGTTGTCCCAGGGTGACATCTAAAACCTGCAGGACACTGCCACTCGAGGCCTGCGGTTGTCTACCCCTGCTCTGTTAGGCTTGAGATCCCTAGTCTGTAAATAAATGTGTAGAAGGACTTCAAACAAATAACATTAAAAACAGCAAAAGTTTTAAAAAATGATTTGCATAATGAAATCTCATTGGCTTTGATTTTAACTACTAGTCTTAAAACACCTAAAAAAATGAAATACTTTTCAAAAACTTTATTTTTTAATTAAAATTTAACTTTTTAGGACTTTTGAAAAAACCTTGAATAATATTACACTGCGGGAAAATTAGTTTTCGGCCTGCTCTGAGCCAATACCTATAATGCTAATATTCAGAAAGCTCTTTTCTTCATAGTAACACCACAGAACAACACATATGCAGAAGAACTGCTGGATATCCGTCATCCAGTTGGATGATCTCACTCATAACTTATTCTGTGTGTATGCAAGGCCACGATTGGTGCAACAGTTTTATGGATAAAAAATGCTAACTAATTAAAAAAAACCAGCTGGAGAGGTAATATTTAAAATCCATTAGTCAAACAACAGGTTATAGCGTCTCTGATGGGGACTATTTTCGGACTGTGGTGCATTTGTGAGAATGGATGGTGTGTGTGGGATTGATAAACTACAGTATGTGTGTTCATGGTAATGAAGTAACATGCCACCAGAGCAACAGTGTTGCTCATTGATCATTTGGACAACAATGCGGCCCTATGGGGCTTTGAATACCCCACACAATAGAAAAATCCCCTGCTTCATCTTTCAAAGGTATTCCTATATGTAAGATATAACAGCAGCTGGTCTTCCTTTACCTTGGCGATGGCTGTTTGCTTGTACATCTGCGTGACCAGGCCCATGACTTCAGTGAAGGGGGTGTCCGTCGTAGCAGCCCCCGACCCCAGGCTCTTCATCAGCCTCTCCCACTCGGCGAAGCTAGCCGAGGCCTCCTGCAAAGCAAGAAGAGGGCAAAGACATTGAGGCTGCGTCCTTTACTTCTTCACCCACCCTTTTCTCGCTCTTGTTCTCTCTACTGTTTTTGAGATATAAAGGGCAAAACAATTAATAGTGCTGCTGGGTGTCCTACTTTTCCTGGAAGAAAAAGAAAGAAAGAGGGAGAAAAGAAAAAAATGCCAGCGAGAGAGAGCGAGAGAGATGGAGAATTCCCAAGGATGCCACCCCCTCCGACTGGGCTGCTGTGTTAGGTGGGTCACGAGCATCTCCCAATTATAGCTGCCTTGTGACAAGTCGGGGTCGAAGATGGAGAAGCAGCCCGGCCGGTACAATAAATCAAAGACGCCTCGCGTACTCTCAAGGTGATTGGCGAGAAGTATTTAAGGCGGGAGAGGAGAGTGGGAGAGGATCGCAGTGGGAAAGGCTGCCAGCGAAGAGCAGCATATGCTGCCTCCCCACTCATAAACAAGACACACAGAGAAGCTCTGCATTTGTTGCCGACATGTAGGTTAGCCTTGTTCATCATAAAAACACCACTCAGGAACAGCATGTTTTTCTTTTTTAAGACTTTCTAGTACAAGACAAGATAATTATATAGAAATCGGGCATGAAAAGTAGCACGGGGAAAGTTTGAGTCAATCCTTCTGCAATAAATTCGGCTTGGAAATAGTTGTCAAGTTCCTTGGCTTTTTCAACCTCCAAACTGCTAACTTTGAATTGCTTTGTGATTAGAGCTTATTTTGGGCCTCTTGTTCATCACCTCGCTGTCTTAATTCAAGCTGCAACGTCTGACAGCAGTGAATGTGTAAAAAAATTCAGCAGCAACAAACACTTTCTTAAAGCGCTGCATATCAAATGATGCAAAACTGTGAACCATATGGCAGAGCGATGGAAGGTGGAGGTGGGCTGCGCCTGATTAAGCACATACATACACATAATGGTGAGGTGGGTCAAAGAGGGGAAGGGGGGGGGGAGGAAGAGGTGTGAGAACTGGAGAGAAACCCTATTAATGCACGCACAGGCTTCGTCGGGAAGCAAGTTTCACGACTGCATTTCCCGCACTGTGTTTTCTGGACTCCTTACATGAAAGCTTTGCACCATTTAGTGAAAAAATTTGCATTTCAGTGGCTTCGAAACCTCGTCAAAGTCAAGGACGGCTGAATGAATAAATAGTATCGTATTGCTGGAGCACAAAGCTGCGCTTCCTTCATGTTTTTCGCCCTCAGATGTTTCACTCAGAAGCACCTGCATAAACACAGTTGGAGCCGTGCTTTTTTCCTAATTAAAACTGTACATTCAGGCATTTCTTTATAATGTGCTAGAGGGAAAAAAAAACCCTGAGTGGCTAAGCACTCCACCCTCGATGATATTCACCAGACTAACACTGACTAAAGGCCAAGGCTGAAAATGTAAAGGGCAGGTGGGGCATAAAAAGTGTCTGGCTGTGGAAGATAAAAGCCATCATTAGGGAGTAAAATGAGATAGGAGGAATGAACTGGTGAGTGCTCCTGGTATACAGATACAGTACAGTATATATTGTCAGTTAGCAAAATGAGGCTTCAAAAAGACAGTTTGTTTAGAGGGAAAATAACGTCCACTCGGTCTTTTATGTTTTATATTGTTCACATTTTCCTGCCTGTGGGAGGCAAAATGGATGTGGATTCGGGTGACTGGCCGTTTCACACTTTCTTTTCTCATCTCTGAAACCAGTCCATTTAGCTGTGAGGATGAAACGCCTGTCTATTCTTCTTAGCAGAAATGTGTTAAAAAAAAACAAAAAACTTGCAGATTTGTCTCACGAACAAAAATAAAGGCAAAAACTGCAAAGCAGAACAACCCGTGCTCTTTTGTTTTCCCACCAAAGAAAAATGATCTCCGAGGTCGTTTTCTCTGAGGATATTACGCATCTTGTTTCAGCCCAATGCAGATGAGAGAGAGCAACTCCAACACATGACACGAATCTTTACAACATGTGGCTTAATTGGTGGCTCTATGTAAAATAACAAAAAACACCCACCAACCATATTTAGCCCCCAATTACTGTCCCCTAACATTTAGGGAGAATAGGGGTAAAAATCCTAGATCATCACTTTTTAAGAAACTCATTGTTGTGTCATTCCTGCGATGGCTCAGTGAGTAATTAGCACAGAAAAAGCTCCTGCAGCATTTTCCACTCCTGTTAATACGAGACTGTTTCCAAAAAAGTTGGGACGCTGTATCTGCAATATGTGCCCATAAAAACAGAATGCAATGACTTCCAAAACATTTGAAGCTTATATATAAATAAAAATAATGCAGATATTTTATATCAAATGTTAAAAAAATTAGATTTCTTTTTGAAGAAGAAAATATGTTTTCTTGTTAGTGTTTAATACACGGTTTCAGCTGTTTTTCATCTCAAGATGTGTCAAATGTTTCCACCTTGAAGGTGGTACAGGTCTGAATAGCCAATATATATTAGCCAATTGTGTATATACACATATATACACACACACACACACACACACACACACA